CACTTTACGTCACTTACTGTAAAACTCGACCCAATCCCCTGTGACAGAATTTGAAGCAAAAAATAAATTGGACACACTTGTAATTACGACAGTGTTTGTTTTGCAAAAGTTTAAGGCTTCTTTCGTGATCAGCATACTCTATTAAGTCTAGGAGGCCAATTTCGCACGCAAAAATTTCGTGTCATATGCACTTTAAGAACAGGCGTCTGAATATGTTGTTTTCATGACATAGCAACAAGAAATAGGCAGTGGTTATAGTATTAACACTTCGAATAAACAGACAAACTGGATAACTTCTGATCCTCTTGCAACAACAGCAACGTTTAAGAATTGAGATGGTGCCAAAAATTAAATGCCGTTTCTATTGACTCACTTTAAAGACGGATAACTTTTAACCCGATTTTGTTTAAGCCCAGAGAAGTGCAAAGGCTGCCTAACTGCAAATCTTCGCTGGATTATATATTTTAATAGGGTTGCGGATGCCAAAAATATTTTTCTTGGATGTAATAAAACTTATGAGCTTGGATTTGAAAACAGAGTGATTAACTTATCCCACCATCAGGGTAATTCCAGATTCTGATACAATTAGGGACAATTTACGCAAAAATCACCAGCTCGTTGCTTAGGTAACGGATATCTATAAATATTTCAAAGATTATTTCCTAGCTGTCTCTACACTAGTAACAACAGAAACCAGGTAGCCTCAGGGATGCAACTTTGAAAAAAGGACATGTCTGGTACTGCCTCCTGTCGGAGCCTACTCTAGTTCTCTAGAAATTTTATCACGTAAATTCCTTCCTACATTCTGGTTGATTCGCTCGAAACGTAAAATTGAGGGTCAACAACCCAAAGCACCATCCATAAACAAGCAATCATATTGAAAAATAGAAGCTGTATAATTCCGAAACAAAATTGATGTCAAAATTTCAGACATTTCCTTTGAGCATAAACTGCTTGAAAATGACAGGGGATTGACAAAGATGTTGAGTACCGACCAAAATGATTAAGAATCTGAAGTTTCAATTTTTTTAATATCAATTAAGAACAATCAAAACTACTAAAACTACAATTACATTAAGCTGCGACATTCATGGCGAGGAAAGACACAAGGTCACCAAGTCCTCGCCATGAATAAGAAGAAATAAAAGTTAGAGAAAGAAAAGAAAGGGATGCTGCTGCTGTATTTCAGCATAAACGTAACCTTGCCGAGGCCTTCACGAAGGAAATTGTTGCTTCTAATATAACTCTGTTTGCAACTGTACCCAAATTCCGATCTCCAAACAAGAGTAAATGACAAAGGTCTTTCATATTTACATCGGCAACATTGAATCCATCGATACCCGAGAGCTGGTCAAAGAGAACCTGGCGCTTCATGCTGTATAGAGGGCAGTGCAGGAGAAAATACTCATTGTCCTCTTTACCAGTGCTACAGACACACATTGAACCTAAACAAGCAAAGTTATGTTTAAATCTATGCCCATTCAAAGCGCTGAATTTAACCCTAAGCATAGTTAGTAGTCTGATACCCAGAATGTCACCAATGTTGTAGGTAGGATTGTTAATTGGCCTAATGATAGCAACCATATTCTTTTTAAACTGGGAAATCGAAGGAGAACTTCGTACTTTGTTATCCAGAAGATTCCATTCAGATATGGTATTTTGGAAATACGAGTTTGAGTACCGAATTGTTCTTCCGTTTAATCAGGTTTCGCTGCTTTGTTGTTCTTCTGTTATAAATCAGGTTTCGCTGCTGAGGTATCTCCAAATAAAGGTATTCTGGTGCTTTAGCTTTGCACAGAGAAAAGAACTGGCACAATCTTCGGTACCATCTTCTTTCAAATTTTAAGGCAGTATATGATACAGTTAAAGACAACAACAATACAGTGGAATCCCGATATAACGAATTTCCCGGTATAATGAACTAAATGTCTGGTCCCTCGGATTCTGCCTAACAAAGTTCTTAAAAATTCTCGCGGTATAACGAACCCCGGATATAACGAACTCTCGTTATTACGAACAAATTCTTAGGTCCCTTCATCATAGTCACCCTCGAGTGAACGAACTTTTCATATATTTTTCATCTGCTACTTTTGTTCATTCATTCTCGGTGTTCATTTATCATTTTCACTTGGGACAAATCATTTTTGCAATCGGTAAAACAGGTCGATGATACATTTCAAGCACTGAATGATGGACTCAGTGCACGAGATGAAAGTTTGATTGCGTCAGAAATTACTGCGAATGAGTACGTTAACACTAACGAAAACATTCTTACATATGAGTCACTGGCAATGAGCGACGACAAAAATTTATTGAGAGTCCCAGATGGAGAAGCAGAAGACATAAAAGAATGTGAAACAATCGAAGACATCATCCAGGCACTAACTAGGAGTGAAGTGATACCAGCTTTGCCAATCTCTTGGTTCCAAATAATAAGAGGAACATAAAGAACTTCATTTTCGATTATTAACCATTAGTAACATTAAAATTCAGCTTGGTTTTTTTGGAGTTAAATGTGCATAGTAGTTGGCGATAGCCTGAACAAGCCCATCGAAGGTTATTCAGGTGTGAACTGCGAAAAGACCTAAAAAACGTTTTCTTCCGGTTTAAGGAACTCCCGAAATAACAAACTATTTTCTGGTTCCCTTCAGAATTCGTTGTATCGGGATTCCACTGTAATAGGCATAAAATAATGAAGGGGAAGCACGTGCTTTACTAGAAGAGCATAATCGAACTCAATGGCAAAGATGCTATGCGTTTACAAGGGCTGGCTGAATATTTGATCTGTCAAATATTTGGTTGCTTAGGCCTTGCGTTTAAACTTGACCGGCTAAACGACCTCAAATTTGGTCACTTAGGCTGCGTTTACACGGGGCCGGCCGAATATTAAGTCGGCAAAAATTTTGCCTGCTTTTGAAGCCGGCCACAAACAATAATAAGAATAATCAATTTATTTACAGTAGGCGGATATAATATAGCTATCTATGTACAAGTTATGTACAAGCCAATTTAGGCCTATTTTATAAAAATTTAGAATAAAAAGCAATTGACACTGAATAATTAATATTACATATATAAAACAATTAGTTTAATAATGAAAGAAATGAAGTTGAAGATTAAAAAAACCTTTTTAAATTTTACAATGCGTTTTTAGTTCAAAGATGTTTAAATATTTTCACATCAAGACGACTATCTTTTTTATTTTCTAGTCAAGGAATCCAACCTGAGCTACGTAGCATCTACATAATTTGCAACAACATTCTTCTCCTTTCCATTATTTTATCCGAGTTTTAAACTGGGCAAAATTTGATGACTCTTTTATTTCTGTGGACAACTTATGCCATAGTTTCCCCCCTAGATATGAAATGGTTTCTACTCCAAAGGTGGTAGTTCTGACTTTTGGAAGATGCATTTGGCTTTTTTTCCTTAGGCTGTATTGGGGGGCGCTTAGCAATAAATATGTCTTTCATAAATGCTGGATTAAGGTTATTATGTGTCTTATATATCTCAGTTATGTGAAGCTGTAAATTCTTTGTGTGGATTTTTACAGCATTTTCCTTTTCTAAAAGTGTTGTGAAATCAGAATCGTCATCTTTATAGGCGATTCGTAATGCCATCTCATGGAGGTGATTTATTTTATTATCAAAGCGTCTCTCACAGAACATCCATAATAGAGGACAGTAGTTGAACTGGGAAAGGATGAAGGCCTTCAGAACTTGTTTTAGTTCTACATTATCTATACACTTGGCGAAACGGGTAAAGCATGTAACTTTTGTTTAGCTCTTTTGTATAGGGATGTTACTTGTGATTTGAAGGATAAAGTCTTATCTAAAATAATACCCAGTAGTTTTCTTCTGAACTCTCAGCAATTACTTCGTTGTCAATTCTTACCGATAGGTTGGTGTTCTTTATACTGCTGAAAAACATCAGGTGGCATTTATCTCCATTTAATTTCATGTAATTGTCCCAGAACCATTTAGATAAAATGGTAATATCATTTTCTAACTTTCTAATCACTTCATTGTGCATATGATCACTGACATATATAGTTGTGTCATCCGCATAGCTACAAACCATACTGTCAGACACAAACATAGATGAATCGTTTATGTAAATGTTAAAAAGGAAAGGTCCGAGGACAGAACCCTGAGGCACTCCATGGTTTATATTCTTCCATTCACTGTAAGATCCATTAACTTTAACACGACGCTTTTTAGAGTTCAGAGATATATGAAATTTAAAGCTTTTCTTGTGAAACCATATGCAAAATAGATCGTGGTTTAAGCAATCGAATGCTTTGGAGAGATCTACAAAAATAGCCCCTGTGCTCATTCTGTTGTTTAATGCCTTATTGCAGTTTTCAACAAAACGTAATAGGGCATGCTGTGTACTATGCCCTTCCCTAAAACCACAGATTAGAGGATTTAGAAAGGTATTAGCATATGACTTTATCTGCTTTTCATTAGTCTCTCAAATATCTTAGACATTGATGGCAAGACTGATAAAGGTCTATAATTTTTGTTGTAATTTTTGTAACAAGAGCATCGTCTTTCTTTAATATAGGTGATATATCAGCTTCTTTGAGGCTTTTAGAAAAGCTGTTGTTTTCTACGCATATGTTAAAACTACTATGAAGAAACGGGCTAAAATTTTCACAATTGTCTTGAAGTTTTTTTGAGGGCATGCTATCAATCGGTGAAGCTTTTTTTGGGTTCAGTCTCTTGAGCTGATCAAAAACATCGATGGCATCAACCTCATTAAACTCAAATAGTTCCTGGGGTACCCATTGCTTTTTGATCATTTTAATACTAGGGTGGTTTTTGTATTTGTATACTGATTTTTCTATAGGGTCTCCGATGTTTATGGCGGGGGAGAGGTTGGCTTCATTTTCTTTAATTTCTAGCTTTTCTGTAATATTTGAAAAGCATTCGATGAGGATCTGTGCAATTTTTAGGTCGTTATTTACAAGTTCTCCATTTTCCAGAAGATTAATCATTGGTGATACTTGTACTTTATCCGTGAGAACCGGTTTGACTGTTTTCCAGAACTTTCTATTGTCTGCAAAATTTTGGGTGTCTAAATTTCTGTAATAAATTATTTTAGATTTCCTTAATATTGCCAGACAATTACTTCACTGATGCTTGTATGCTTTCCAGTTTTCGTTGGTCTTATTTCTGTTGTATTTATTCTTTAGCTTAGATCGGTGCATTATTGCTTTTCGCAGTTCTTTGGTCATGAACCGACCATCATTTGCACGAACATATTTTTTCTTGATTGGCGCATGCTGATAAAGTACTTTTAACAAGTTTGTGTTTATACAATCAAAGGACACTTTTCCTGATAAATCGTTTATGGTATTAGCAATATCATGTGTAAAGTTTATCGTGCTAAACTTTGTATAGTCCTGTATTGAATTATCCTCGGACCTTTCTTGATATACCCGCCTTTGAGAGCTGTCAGGATCATTGTGTGAAAGTCAGAAAGCCCCGTTTCAAATGTTGTCGTGCTTTTAAGGCTCTATTTTTCTCTATTTTTGACTCTCTTTGACAATACTAGCAAAGTTGTAGCTATCCATGAAATATTTTATTTTACTGTCACTTATTTCGCAGTTTAGGTCCCCCAATAACAGAAAGTTTTCAAATTTGTTGCTAAAGAGTCTAGGCATTTTTCTATTTTAGCGAAGAAAAATTGTTGGCACTGAGATGGTGGGCGATACATACAGAGGAGTAGCCATTTTTGTTTTTTCAGATTAATTTCTACAGCTATCGCTTCAATGTTTGGAGGGAAATTGTAATTTAAGAGTTGCTTAACCGGAAGGCCTTCTTTTGTGTAAACTAATTGTCAATCTCCATTTTTGTTACGGTCGAGACGAAATGGTCTCATAAAGCCTTCAATAACAAACTAGCTGGAAGAAAAGGTCTCATCAAGTTTTGTTACAGCTATGGTGATAACATCAACACTACCTTCTAATATAATAGACTTACAAAGTTCAATCTTGTTTCTGATAGAATTTAAATTAATATAACCTTGGATTAGACTGTTTTTGTTTATGAGTCGTAATTCATTTAGTCTTTCAGGGACACTTACTTCTTCTACGAAACTTTTATCGACATTTTTTTTACGAAATGCTTTGATGGAAATGTATCTTGGTGTGAGGCATTATTTCTCATTCAAAAAGATTTTAGCTTACTTATGCTGGTTTTTGCAAGTTGGGAATTTGCTCGCTGATTCAGGTGAAGACCATGTCTTCCCATCCGACTTGATTAATATGTCATTCAATATATTTCCCTTTATGACAAGATCTTGTTTGTCCTTTCGCGAATGAGGTCACTTAGGCGTTGAGTTTACAAGGGGCCGCTCAAGTGGCCTAATTCTTATAACTTGCGCAATGCGTCAAAAGCTTGGCGCCCAAAATCATCGTAAACAAAAAGCTAACAAAAGAGCTTCTATCATTCGCTTTCTCTGTTCTCGTGTGCTTTCTTCGCAAAATGCTTTTAAAGGAGGATGGCTGACACAATTGCTATCAATGTTTGGAAATTTGCGCCGTTTGCTATGCTTTTTAAAATTTTTATGCATGTTAAAATGAATCTTTCGACGAAAGTCGTCCATATTTCCAGCAAAACAAACAATAAGCAAAAGCTACAAACGAAAAATCTAATCAGTGACCTCAACCAACAACGATACACTAACATTTGGTCCCGAAACTTTGATTTGCCAATTTTTGGATGCCTCTGTAGCATGCATCGACACCCTCTTTGTGGTACCGTGCAAATTTTTGGCCGGCCGTAACCGCTTATACGAGGCCGCTCGCGAATTTGGCCGGCCAAGTTTCATCAAAGACTTTGGTTTCATGAAGGACGCTCTCCTAGGTTGCCGAATATTTGGACGCCTAAGCGACAAAACCCGAGGTCGTTTAGCCGGCCCCGTGTAAACACAAGGTCCAAGTGACCAAATATTTTACCGACCAATAAGCTCTTTATTTACAACAATTTTCGACGCCAAGTTTCTGACACATTGCGCAAGTCAAAAAAATTAGGCCATTTGAGCGATCCCGTGTAAACGCAACGCCTAAGTGACCTCATTTGTGGCCGGCTTCGAAAGCAGCTCCGAAAGCGAAAAATTTTTGGCCGGCCCCGTGTAAACGCAACGCCCAGGGGTGGAAAAAGTATCCGACCACGAGACCAACGGTCCCAGAAATTTTTTGGGTCTCCAGAAAAAAAAGGAGGAAAAGAAAAAAAGAAGAAAAAAAGGGGGATAAAGAGGAAGAAAAAAGAAGAAAGAAAGAGGGGAAGAGAGAAAAAGGGAAGAGAGGAGAGAAGACAAAGTTAAAATCTCAGTGAGAATATTATATTATTGTTGTTCATGTGCAGTAATGTTGGCAATCTGTTCTGCTTAGTCTCGAAACTTGTGTTTTTTTGTTTTGAATAAGCCAGCAAAAAGCAAAAAAAAAATGAAAATTGGAATCTCCTTGCTGAAATCTCATTGAGATTATCAGCTGTGGGCAGCCTCACCCAGAACATGAAAGCTGGCTTTGATGAATTTTACATTGCAGCTTGTCAAATAGGAGGGGTTTATTTGATGGTGTCTACTTCCACTGTAGTATACAGAAGCACTTCAATTATCTTTATGAACCAATGATGGGGACATACTGTTCAGCTATGACACATTGCACAAAAATGTACTTATAGACACACACATGCAAAAAGAAAGAATTTTCATGGGTTGTAGAAGACAAACACATTTGCCAGCAACCTATTTACCCTATTTAACTGGGGAGCCAGTTATGAAAAGCTTGTGGCAGCTACAGCACTAAACTTAACTTGCAAAGTTTAGTGGGGTTTCCAGAGACAAGATTTGCCAACAGCAGAAGATAGGTATATAAAAACATACATCATGAGTTCCCAGCAGTAATGACCTGCTTGGAGGAACAAATCTTAGATGGGGTGAAGAACATATCAGGGACAGAACCTGCAAATTCAAAAGTGAGGGAAAAGGCAAAAAGGCATGAGAGCTTAAGGAGAAGATACCAAAAACCTGTTTCCTGCTCACACTGTCTGGTCTAGCAGGTGCATATGGGCAATTTGGCTTGATATTGAATGTTGCTCAAATGGTTCACCTATTGCCACATGAAAGATTGGAGCTTTTTATGGCAGCTGTTGATGTTCTTCCTTAAATGGAGGAGGGCTTAGATGACCACAGCAAATGTAACTCACTGGCACCAGAATCAAGAAAGCAGAGGTGCTTGTGACCATTAAACCAAGCAGACAAAGAAGGCTTGAAAGAAAAGAATGAAATCAGGGGAATACTTATTGTCTCCCAGTGTGGGATTCAAGCTGCTGGCCTGCAAAATGAATCACAAAGTCAGTCTCTGACCGTGAGGATGAAACCTGATTCTGAAGCAACATCAAACAAGCAAATACTGTGTTTGCTGAGAGAAATACACAGTGGTTTGAAATCTGATGTGTATGATCAAGCATCAAATGATATGATTCATAACGCAAAGCAAACCCGCCGGACGCAGGTTTGAACAGGGAGGCCAAAACGAATTAAAAGGGCACGAATAATTTATATCCGAAACATTAGTAAGTGTCAAAAATTGTACAGATTTCATGGTAATTTAGACATTTATAAAAATATTGAAACACGCTGGGCATAGTGATAACTATCTTCACAGAAAGTAGATAGATGGCTATATACTCCATTTAGGGACCACGCACTCTTGATCATAATTAATTGGATAGCTTCCCATCTCATGGCAAACCAAAGTTTTTTGAGAGTGTAAATCTTTTTTCCATGTACTATTTAAATCTCTATTACAATACGCTGTACTTATTTTCCTTATAATTGCATTGTAAGTGGATTTGGCCCCGGGTAAGAAGCAGGCACACACCCTTCTTTCATACTTGTGGCAGACGCAATATACTCAACAAAAGTTCAGATCTATTGCAGCATACCAACGAACCCAACCCAAATATGAACTGAATAGAATTTTCAAATTCTTAGTCTCTATATACTTCAAAGCCAATTCAGGTCCCTCTCCCTTTCAAAGGGAAGTTTCAGTCCCTATAATTATCAAAAGCTCATTCGAATAATGATTTCAATTTTCTCACTTTTAAATTTAAACAATTAAGTCTCCCTTGGCATTCGCGCCGTTCCATCACCACTTGAACACATAAATTTGTTCGCCTCCGTTGAATTTTTTTTGAAAGCTACAAAATTTTATGTTTAAGTCATCTTAACGCAATCGGCTGAAGGTGCGAGCACATTCTTCACTGCCAAAGCAAAATTAATTTGCAACTTTGATTAGGTTGATCTCATCAGTCTTATGAACGAAACAAGTTTTTAACTCTCCTTAGACTTGATCCCAGCGGGCTCAGTCAGTTGGTCAAACGTATTACATGTGAGTTCCGAAAAACTTTGAGAAAAGGGTGGTCTTGAAGCTAGAATTCTGGGACATAGAATCTTGAAAATAGGGTTGCTTTTTTAATCAGTCACAGGAAACACAAAAGAGATTTACAGATATGATGTTACAGATAATTTTTTAAGTAAACCAATGGCATATTGAAGTACAACAAATTTTGCAGTAGCATCTAGTCTTGTATATAGTTCTAATCCTAGATAAGAAATTTAAGTCTTTGTTAAGTCTTTGCTCACATGTACTCATTGCAGGGACACAACTTTTTCTTTTTTCAGAAAAAGTAAGCAATATAATGCAGTTATAGTTTTACACCATAAGGGATTGTTGTTAAAATCAAATTTAGTGAATTCTGTTTTTTGACATACCAATTTATAAATTTTTTGAAAAAGAATCGTTCTAACATGAATTGGTATAAAAAATGTCGTGCTCAAGCTTGAATATTCACAGCAAAAGGAGTTACACAATTTTGGCAAAGTCAAAGAATAGGTTACATTTTACGCAACCCAGAATCAGAGATAGGGGTCCAGTTTCTACTTTCAGGAACATATACAATATCCATTGGACCAGTTGACTGTGCTCGCCGAGGACTTGATGCGAACCATTCAGTGATGCATTTGTTGCTGAAGATATACTAAAGAAAATTTTTTCGCAAAACTGGCAGTCTCCTTCGCAATTAATGTTGTTCATCACAGGAGCTTGCACTTTTTGCATCAAGACCAAGTAAAAGTTTAAGGAAATTTCAGTGAATGGTTCTCCAACAACGCCCAGATTCAATTTATTTCACTTAGCTTCTAAAGGCAGAATCTCTGGCAATGAAAAAATACACGCAATATATTTTTTAAAAAGGGGCACTTGTTTACACTTTTGCAAACAGGGAGGCCTGTCCCCCCGCGGCCCCCTTGCTCCGGCAGCCCTGCAAAGTGATTTATTGACCAGTCTGCACTTGCTGTTAAGTTACACCAGCTAGATTGAGGAAGAATAAAGATTGCTGAAACAGACTTCCCCAAGTTCAGGGAAGCAGTTTTGGCAATACCTGCGAGGTCCCTACAAAGAATTTTTGAAAAGACTTCAGCTGTCAACATCAAGCTACACAGTGTTCCAGCTCATTAAAAAGTTTTTCAACCCTGCAAATACTTCATTTGTAGGCATAGAGATGGTAATGCAGGCTATTGCTGTATCTTGTGTCAAGCAGTCATGTGAGTCGATTCTGGAGTCAATGGTTTCTATGTATCAGTATCATTTTGATGGTACCAGAAATATGGGAGAAGAAAATATGAAATAAAGAGTCTTTCATTGCAGTGAATGGCCCAACATCTCTCATTGCGACAGGGACATTGAGGAGTCAATGATAGATACTGGAAGGAACAGAACTGGCATTTCTATAGAGCATCCTTGTCAGACCATCTCAAAGATTACATTCACATAGACTCAAAAATGTCGGATAGACTTCTCAATGAAAATAGCAAATTACCTTGCATGGAGTAGAACACAAACAGTTTGAAAAAGTGGCTTAGAACCTTTCCATCATTTTAAAAGTAAGAACATTACAAAACTTTGTTTCATCCTCCTTAGTGTATTTTATCATTCAACTTGACCACGGACTAACTAATTTACTGGCTACTTCATTAATAAATCCCGTTGGAATAAGAGTTTCCACGTTCTGTTTTGTCACATGTTTTTGATATACTGCAGAAATTTTTTTCAACATTTTCTATGGTCCTAGAAAGTAGAATATTTTTTCACCCCTGGCAAACCTAAGTGACCCCATTTGTGGCCGGATTCGAAAGCAGGCCAAATTTTTGGCCGACCTCGTGTAAATGTAACGTTTAAGTGACCCCATTTGTGGTCGGCTTGGAAAGCAGGCCAAATTTTCGGACGACCCCGTGTAAACGTGACGTTGAAGTGACCCCACTTGTGGTCGGCTACAAAAGCAGGCCAAATTTTTGGCCGATATCGTGTAAACACAGCCTTGACATCTAGCACGAAGAAATCAGAAGTCAATCTCCATCAGAAAGACCAATCTTGAAAAAATGAAGACTGCGACTGAGGTCCTTTCAAGAAGAATGATCAGCAGGGACCGCGCACCAGTGGGAGGGCTGAAAAGGGCGTGACCGAATTTTTTTAGGCTACGCCCTCTGGAACGCCGGAAACGCCCCTTTCAGGAAATACTGGCTTATTTCTACTGGGGTTTTATAAACAATCTGGTTCAGGGAAGATATCAATAGTTATAAAAATAGATAAAATTAGATTTGGGATAATAAAACATCAAGAAAAACACCTAGAGAATTAACAAAAAGTTCCCAGTCAAGAAAAACTGCTACTTCTTAGGAGTATACTATTCAATGTTTAATAGGACCATAGTTAGAGTAAACTTTCATGAACGTTTTCTAACGTATCATCGCAAAAAAGTGGAGGGGCTATAGCCCCTGCTACCCCAATGGCTGGCGGTGCCTGGTGATAAGCAGGGGCGTGGTGGCCCACCGGCACTCGGGGAATTTCCCAGTGGGGCCCTTAACACTTTCCATGTGGGCACCTTAGATTTTTCTTGAATTCAAGCTTTTATTGATTTGTAACATCAGAATAAAAAAACAAGTGCAGTAAGACAGTTTTTTTGGCAGTACAAAACTTGAAAATGGCTTTGAAAAAGCAAACATTTATAATAAATTGTTAAAAGCTTTTAGCCAATATGTTATCAAATGATTGATTTTTTTAAAGTCATTTTGAAGTGAGACCCTATGCAAGCATAAGGAGAGATCTTTGGGTCCTCAAAATCTTTATTGAGTGACAGTGTCGCTGTTCTTACAGTTCTTTATGTAATTTTTGAAAAACATGCTCAAACTTTTAATGCAAAGGTGCAAACATATGCAAAATCATCAATACAGTTTTTTCAAAGTATGAAATGCTCTTGACAGCATTCACGTGTCAAGAAATTTTTGAAGTGACAACTCCACTATCAAACTATCTGCCCGGACGAAGACACTGTTATGATAACCCATGCAGACAACATTGTTCTTGTGGCAAAAGAAAATACGCCGCAAAGGAGCCTGAAGGTGAAGCTTGAAGGCAGTCAGCAACGGTTTCAAGCAGAGCAGAAGGTCACTATTTTCAAGATAGTTATCCAAAATTACAGAAATGACAGAGCAATCGATGTCTTTCATATCTCTACAATTATTTTCTATAAGAAGCTTCGATCGAATTAGTATTTATCATTTTCTCTGTTGGGCTGGCAACAATGAGGTAGCAGAGGGTTTTCATCGAAAGGAAGCTTTAATCGTCAAATCAAAAGGAATAAATGCCTCAAAAAGGAACAAGTACACCAATGACTTTTGAATGAACTCAGAAATCCAAAACTGACTCACTTGGTTTAACTAACTAAAGGGAGAGCATTCCTCCATTTTCCAACTTGTATGATCACCAAGGCAGATGTTGTTGGCAGACATAATACCAACCAACAGCTAACCAAACTTGCATAAGTTTTTTCAGAGGTATAAGAAACACAACTCGTGGATTAAATAATGAATTGGAATTTGAACGAATTTAAAATCGTTGGATGCACGGTTAGAGAAAGATTTCCTTTACACAAACATTGATATAAATGAAAACCAGTGAGGAAATAGTGTCTAAATGTTCTGAATGGGAACCAATTAAATTAGGCACTAACTTCAAAAACGAAGCCTTGTGATGTTCTATTGCTTCTTTTGGCTCAGCAATCTTGCCCGCAATTTCTGTAGAAAGAAAAAGACAAGTTGTGAGTAGACATCATAAGGAAAATTTACACACAGAACAAAGCTCCAATAGCTTCTAATGCTTAAGCTTTTTGAAATTAGCGTATAATGTAAAAAAGGGCTAGGGAATTTTGGGTTTGAAACAAGACTCTAGCAACAAATTTTTGAGTAGCATTAGAGCTCTAGTTAAGTCCTATCGGCGGGGTTGACGGCAGTTGATTGATTGGTAACAGCTTAACAGACTGCAGTTGGTTTTCGTTAACTCTAGATAATGCTTCATGACCTGCACAGAAGGGAAACTAATCTAACCATTCACTAATCCCGGTCTTAAAAATCGCAGGAATTTCCCCAAGCGGTTTTCCAGGCCAATACTGCAGGAGATAAGCAGAATGAATGCGCAAATCGTGATAAAAGCATGAAAATTGGCACAAACATACCATTTGATATGCTGAAAAAGATGGGATCGGGACCCAGTCTGAGAAATGCTCTTAAGAGCTATTTTTAAAATGATTCATTGTTCCCAGACTCTTGAAATGATTATGTCTTTAACTTTGTTGAAAATCAAATCAATGACATGGAAATTTGTATAAATGCTAATCATAACACGGTTATGTGATTCAAATTCACACCTATCGTCAAAATGCCCCAAAATGCTATTTTTAGGCCATGTACTCGTTCCCAGACCTCTGAAACATTTATCTCTACAACCCCGCTAAAGATAAAATCAATAGCAAGCAACCACATTTGGATACTAAATTATACCACATTAAAAGGATTTGGATTGACACGCATCTTCAAAATGCCCCTAACTGCTATTTTTAGACCACGTACTCGTTCCCAGACCTCTAACACACTTATCTCTACAACTCAGCTAAAGATAAAATCAATAGCAAGCAACCACATTTGGATACTAATAATACCACATTAAAAGGATTTGGATCGACACGCATCTTCAAAGTGCCACCAAATGCTATTTTTAGAATGCTTGTTCCTAAATTGATTATCAAAATTTACAAAATTTTCATGTCACTGTATAACTTTTTAAAAATGAAATCAGTGACATGAAAATTTTGTTTATAAAATGTGTAATATTTTCCAGATCTTTAAAGAGTTCTTCTCTGGAATGTCGCTAAAAGTCAACTAAATGCTATAGTTAATCTTGTATAAATACTTATTTGAAAGCACGATTAACACCCCGATCAATTAGCTTTGATCACAAATGATTTCGCGTTGGGAGAGATAGTATTCAGTACTCTGTTGGACGTAACACTTACAAAAAGGCCACTTGGTTTGTAATGAGTCGAATCCTTGCAATCACGAGGAAGTAGATACAAGCTAATTATCGTAATTGCTAAATTTCCATGCTTCAGTATTGAAAAGTTTTGGGTAAGGTTGTTTACTTGAAAAAAAAGGGGATACCGATCCGACATACTCCTTCAGGCATCACGAGATATCGTGTTCCATGTTTTGGTATGCACCATCCGTTTTTGAAACAGTTGAATCGAATAGAGGGAAGACTACTGCATGGCAGACATGGAAGTCTTTCCCTTTTAGAAGTTAAGTCTTTAAGCAGGTCATTGGTGCTAGCAGGAAAAGACTTTGCATTCAGGAGCAGATCGAGGTTCATTGGTCCCCCAAGCCCTCACCAATCTTGGTGCCCCCTCCTTTTACTAATGACCAATAGCTACGGAAAGGAAAAGATGATAAAGTTTGTTGATCTTGGTTTTGATAGAAGAAAGGTTATGAGAATTTGGGGTGAGAGAAGTGCGCTTTAAAGCGTTTCAAAGTTTACAAGCTCTAGAAAGGAAAGACGAGGAAGATTCAGAGTATATCTTGAGGAATCAGGGATAAAAGATAAGATCTCCTGGTAGGAATGTATATGGAAATATCTGTTAAAAATGGATTGGTTAGCAGTACAACGCCGAGAAGAGTGAAGTTGCAGAGAAATGTAACGTTGCAGTTGTCGATGAGAGGGCAAGGACCTGTAGAGATAAAAAGATTTAGAAACGTACCAGGGCAATACACCAAGAAATCATGGTATTAGACCTATCAGAGATAATGCTGCTAATCCAACTAATAATTGTGCAATGCAAACCATACATATGGTGTCTGGAAAATAAAAGCCCCGGTAGATCTTGCTGGCCTGGCTACTCAACAAAAGACCAGGGGTGCTGGAACTCCTATAGCACCCCCTAGACCCAGTGGCGGGGTGGCTATGTTTTCCCTGGGGTGGCCAAGCCGATTTTTGCGCCCTATCTATAAATCGTAGTTATATAAAAGCATGTGTTCTTAGACTATTTGCAATAGTTACGAAAGACGGAAGAATGACAGGAACTGAACACATTATTTCATAGTTCTACTTGAGTACTCATTAACCATTTTAGCAAAATAATAAAGGGGAACGGTGATAGAAGTACAGTTGGAAAACGAGACTTCGCAGAAGAAAATGTACGAAAATCTCTGCTTTTAGAAACTTTGTTTTAGCCTCTTTTTAAAAAACCCAGGCAAATTAATTTGGCCTGGCGGTCTTGAGGCAACCTACCAACCCTGTCTTAGATAACAGGCTTCGAGTCTTATAGAAGGCAAGGTATTAAATAATGCTCCAAATTCTTAATGGTGAGCCGCAAGATGACTTCATGACGACCTTTTGCATAAATTGGGATTGAGTCACCTAAAATGAGAATGTGGCTATTGCTTTGATATGCCAGAGTAGCAAGCATTGCGTTTTGAAACGTTAGGTGATATTTCACCAAGATTTTAGTACTTGATCCCACTTTTCATTGATTTCTACTTATTGCTTGAAATACTAAAGCATATTTTCATGTCAAATTTGATGGTTTGAGCCCCGTGGTCATCCTCACTATTGTCACGATACCCCCCTTTTCTCCATTCATTTAGATATATTTGTTTCTATTCTATCGTCATCAAATAGTTGCTTCTTTTAGTTTAGCCGCTCTTTCCCAATCAGTTCGATGACTACCTTTTACTACATCGTTTTAGCTTAACCTACGTCTTACCCTCGTTTCCATTCCTTTTCGGTATCTTTTTTTAGTACATGACTCGGTTGTTTTTTTTACATTGCATCGTCGCTTAAGCTTATATCATGTTAGTCACCATTCCTGTTTTTCGTAAATATTCATGTTCTTCACGTGTTTCCGCGCAGCTTTCTATTTTAACAGTAGTTTGTAATTAGAATTTAACTTGTGTTCCATGTCTCACTGGAGTCATGTTTATTGTTGATTTAATGAAAATGTTAAAGTGAATCTTGTCCTTTTCTATATCGCTCCAGCCTGAGTGCCCTTCACACTATCAACAATTAAAAAGCCCTTGAAACGATAAACACGGGATTAAAATTCCCAGGACTCTCAGTTTTATAATTCCAGGAAGGTATTAAACCTGCATACGACGACGACCGTATTAGGAATCGGGGTTCATGGGAATATTGTAAGCCTTGTCTCAGGATAAAAACACCTGGTAGTTATTGAATACTAGAGTTTAAAATTTAATAAACAGATAAGAGAAATCGTATGCGAATAAAATCTGAATTTCACAAGACATTATCATTGCGAGTTGATTAGGATACAAAAGTGGCAGGATTCCATTCAATATTGGGTAGACCATGTCATTATTCATGTAATTCAAACATCAACAACATTTCTATTTTGTGACTTTATGCACAAGCGGATATACTTTAATGGCTTATCTTGATCACGTAATTGATTTTCACAGATATTAGAGTAGATTATTCACCCACCAATTGGTTAGAGGTTTACATACTTCTAAAAAGATCAAATATGATCGGAAAGATTGTGAACAAAATTGAAAATAAAATACCAATACATTTATTAATTCAAAATAAATAAAAAAAATTGAAAATAAGACCTTTTTTATTAAAAACTAATCAAGCACAGGTTATGTTCCGACACTACTATGCACAGGAAATTCCATTAAAAAATAAGAAACAAAATAACAAACGCCAAGCTAAAACTGGAGCCAAGTGTTCTTGAAAAAGCATGCTGGTCAGATCACATTGATTCTTTGCAATCTTTTGCTCAGTGCTGCAAGCTCTTTCTGATGTTATCATCAAATTTGAAAAGTTTAAAAGTCGAAATTTTGCCGAATTTGAAAAATTTGAAAGCACTTTTTATGCTTCCAGAAAGGCGAATTCCGGCTGTTAGCCATAATATCCCAAAGGCTTAAAATGATCAGTGGCCTTTAATTTTATGGTTTAAACTTTAAAAAAAATAAGTTAGACAGGTTGCTAGATTGTTTTGCATAATCGCCTGTCTATGTTGAAGCTGCTTGAACTTTACTTCTTCTGAATTTTGACACGAGGGTTATGCCTCCTCAATGCTGGTTTAAAAGTAAAGTAAGTTACTTTATCTCCTCGTTTGGAGATAAAGTAAAAACAGTTTATGGACGAGGGAGCGGTTGATGCGATAAATTTTAATCGACAAAAAATAGAAATGACTAAATGCCAACAAATTATCGCAAGGAGATTACAACAGTTGAAGAATGATTTAAAGACAACTGTGTGAAGTTAAATGGGGACAAATGCCACTTCATTACCTTTGGTGATCAAAGTAATGACTTAAATATTCCTGCTGAGTCAAATGTCTGCGATATGCAGAAAACTAACTGCAAAAAACTTCTTATGGGAAAGTCCGGTGACAGCAGAACTATCTGAAAACGTCCGGCTAAAAAATCCGGCCTGATTCCTAAACATTATACGGCAAGTCCGGTTTAAGCCGGATTGTTAAATCTTGATCCGGTTAATCCCAGTATAAGAGAGTGACATTTATACCTTGTTGTTAACGGTGAAGGACAATGGGAGGGGTGGGAGGTGGAGATTGGGGGTTTTAGCAGCATTGAAATGGCAGACATACCTTATCAAATTGTTTCATCATGATTCTGTTTCGCTGGTATCGCGCATTCCTTTTTTCCTCCTCCCGACGTTTAACAACTTCAGGTAAAGCCTCGTACTTTCTACAAAACAAAGACAATTAAGAACTAAAATAAGGAGTGTTTTGCTCAAAGGACATTTTTTAGTTGAAGGAGCATCTATGAATCTGAGTAGAATGGCTCAATCAACAAGAATTGGGCAATCTTAAGCTCAGTTTGGACTTAAATGAAAAAGGTCGAATCGATCGACGTCGCTCGATTCAATTGATAATCAACTTGCCTGGCGACCGCTTCCACTTGCTTGTCGACCGGTCTCGATATACGTCGATTGTCAGGCTGGGAGTATGTTTGGCATGGAAGTTTGAAATCATTTTCCTGCCTCGTTTGTGGTAAAAAAGTGTCTTCATCGGAAAATAATTCTCAGAGAGGAGAGCAAAGAGTTGATTTTATCAATTGACTGGGAAATTGTATTTTAGGGTTTAGGATAAAAATCTTATATACAAGCTTTTCACAAGAAACCATTTGAATGTGTAGGGTTACAGTATTTATACCCTGTAGTGTTACGTATCGAGTGTGCAATCCTGCTCGAACCACTTGTATATCCATTTTCATTTCACAAACTTTAAATACAATCGTAGCTTTAGCTTTATTGTGAATAGTTTGCATATATGATTTTTACTATTAACCTTAAAATATAATCTCCCAATCATTTAATAAAACACTTTGCTCTCGTTTCTGAGAATTACTTTCCGCTGAAGACTTTTTTTTCTTAAAACTTGACAGGAAAATGACCGAAAACTTCCATGCCAAACATACTCGCAGCCTAACAATCGACGTCGATCGAGAGCGGTCTACAGGCAAGTGGGAACTGGTCTGTAAAACCGGATTATCGTTCGATTCGATCGATGTTGATTGATTCGACCGCTTTCGTTTATGTGGAAAGTTCAAGAAGAAACATTCTTAAATTTGTGGAATAAAACAGACGAGCATCAAGCGGCGAGACTTCGTAAGTGTAAAATTACGCCAAAGTCTAGATGTTTCTTTAGTGTATTTTGAGTAGTGAATGTAGTTAACTGTATGTTGTTTAACACTAAATGTCCAGTAAATGCAGCGCGACACTCCTAGTCAATGCAAAATCACACGCCGAATTGATATCAATCCATACCAATTTAATGCAAGATGCTGCACCCATACATTAAAGTTTTGCAACAAATTAGGTAAGCTTTGGTTTCTCAGAAAAGGACCGTTTGAAGTTTCACGCTTATTGCAATTATCAGTCAACTGTGTAGTAACGGAGCTTTTTGGTACGCACTGAACAATATTTTATGAACAACTTCTGACAAACGTACTCTCTATTGATCCTAGACAAAAGGGATTAAGCTTGTTAGCAAACAAATGCTAATATTTCAGAGCGCCCACCAAAATTGCATACTGGAAAAACCAGACCCTACACACGCACCCTAATGGACTAATGACAAATGGAATAATGGCAACAAGACAAAAACACCATTGATGCATGCATCGAAAGTCACTTTGATTAAGTGACCAAATGAGAGAAGCAAAACAAGTTGCTTAACATTCATCTAGCCTCCAAAAAGGTATGGTGCATGAGAAACCTTACTTCTTGTCTAAGTCTTCCATTAAAAAATTCCACACTTTTTAAACTTCCCCGCCCATGCAACGCACATTACACTGGTTATGATAACATATATATAATAAATAAATAATTTGTTTAAAGTTGGCGTACTAACTGAACGTCTAAAAGCTATAAAGAAGCTAATTAAGGCCAACTATCAATGAAGAATTACCATGAGGCAAATTTAGCAGCGAAATCACTGGTGAAGATATCGAAGGGGCGCAGTTTTGATTTTTTTTTAAAAAAGAGTCCTAATTTTTCCGCGGCGAAATTTTTCGCAGCAGCTAATAACCAATCAAAGCATGATAAAGTTGTTTGACTTACGTTCTAAATACTTATCATATGTCGATGACTCAAGTTTTGGGGAAAATCATAATATAATTTTGCAGCGACTTCGCAGTCTCGTGGAAATCAAAAGAGACTTTAAAACGAGTTTGTAGCGAATTCGGTGCGAAATTCGCCTTATGGAAATCATAATAGGACAAGAGAGTTGATTGTTAAATGAGTTTGAGCCAAAGTCGGAATGCTTCCAAAGATGTCAACATAATGGCATTAAAAGGCATGGCTCTGGGGGAGCCGTAAATCATGTAGTAGTTAAGGGTCCTTTTTGGTTCTTCGTAGTTAATGGTCCTAGGGGTCATAGGGATCCTAGGAACATAGGGTCTGGTTTTCCCAGTAAGCCTACTGAAAATGCCGCTGAACCAAATTGTGACATGTCACTAATCACTCAAACGTTCCGTCGTCCTGCCCCAAAGGTAATTAGCATAAACTGTTTATGCGGAGAGATGACATCGCTAGAACTCGAAAACAAGAGGTCACCACAGATATTAGATTAAGGAATAATCAATCAACCCTCAATATTGGAGAGATAATTTAAAAAATGAAAAAAATGATGATGACTTGCTTTCTATTTTGGTCCAGCATTTCTTTTCTGCTTATATGACGTTTCTTTGGTTTGAAAAGGTGTTCTGTAAAAGGAAGATCTGTTATTTGGATACTGGTGATGATGAACAGAGTAAAAGAAACGTGAAGATAGCACGGATAAGTGAAATAGTGAAAATATTTTATGCTTAAAGGGGCTGTGTCACAAGGGACATCCTGCGTGGCAATACGCCAGTTTGTGAAAGTTGTTTGGGTGAAACACCCTGCGTTAAATAGGAAAACCAATATGGAATAAAAGAGTTTTTTGTATCTGTGCTCATCGTACGAAGCTTTTGCATTTTAGGATGGCAAAACAAAAAACAAAGGCCACTTTTATGGCTAGGATACGGCAACTCACAGGGAGCTGTTTATGGAAATTGCCCGAAATGACACTAAAAACCCTTCTTTACTAATGTAAATTATGAGCGAAAAACATTATTAAAGTCTGCAGAACAAATTTGGAGTAATCATTTTGTTGTACAGTGTCTAATTCCATTCAAATTCACAAAGAGAAACGGAATATCTTCGCCATGATTGAATGAAGCTTCATTCCCGTAGCCTAGACCAAATTAACATACACTTTTTGATTCGATAGTAGGTAAATATGCTGAAATACAGCAAGTGTCCAATCCATGTTCGTTGAATACGCTCAGAAAATACAATTTATCGAGCTTGTCGATTCACCGGAGCACCATCGGCCATTGTCCCGATGTGCAAGTCAGGTTAAAAACACACAATGTCCCGTGTACTTGGTTCGTTTACAAAACTGTGATACAGCCCCTTTAAGTACTTTTCGTCCCACACCCCTAAGAGTATAGACGCAGGGTAATGACAAAAGAAACCTCCAACTTGAAATAGCTGCAAAGATAAATCATAAGTGCAAGATTCCTTAGGTTTGGAAGGTCAGGCCCAACGCAGGTTTTTAGGCTTTTTACAATTATTTAGAAAGATTTAGAAGAACGAGCTACCGAATGAACACACCTTTAATCAATTCACGTCAAATGTATTAAGGTACAATTGACATAAATAACGACCCAAGGCGTCAAAAAAGCCGAGGATTTGAGGGAATTAACATAGACAACCTAACTAATCAACAAAAATAAATACTAACCAACAGTGGGTGGATAGCTCTGTTTCTCAATGCATGTCAAAACAGCGTCATTTAGGTGGCGCTCCTGAAGGTTTTTTGTATTTTTCTTTTTAACTCGTGTCTTTGCATTCTTAACATTTTCCATCCTCAATCTCGATCTTCGAATAAAATCACTCTTTGCGAACTGGAATGCCTCTTGGAGCCCAACCCTAACAACAGACCTATAACGCAAAGATTCGCGTGTTAATCGTACTGAGATCACCAAAGGATACTGTATATAAGCGATGTCTATATTCTTTTTCTGAAGCTTATTTTCTACGAGAAGGGAAGGTGGTGGGGATTCAACCTAAAACGTATTCGTACTGATACGTAGCAGAGGACATTACACGCCTGAGAATGATCATATACGACTCACTTTATCGCACAAAAACCTTAAAGCTCATTTCAACTAGAGCAGAAGTTTGGGTATGAGGTCAAGATCCAAGATGAAAATCCTATAAACCTAGATAAGACTGCCAATTTTTTCAACATAATTGTTCTTTACTCAAAAGGTCCGGAAATAGCGACGGGGTTCAAGTAAAACCATAAAATTGACCACCGTTGAATTGGCAGCCACTGAAGAATTCGTGCCTCAAGAATAACTGAATAACATGACATGACTCAATAATTCGAAAAAAGGCTGAAACAGACAAAAATATTTTTATAGCCCGATTATATAATTCATAGACCAAGAATATCGGAAAACAAATGGAACTTCGAACTCGCTCAATTCCATACTAAAATATTCTGAATACACGAAAATGGCAAGAACATACTTAGTATCCTTTGCAGTTGTTTTTTCGATAATTACTTTTGGCTTAGGCTTGTTGTCTCTGTAGGTATCTGCAAGGTTTGGCACAGATGAAAGTGGTACTATTGATCCACCAGAAGCATCTGATCTAGTAGACTGAAACCAGGCAGTAAAAACCGGCTCTTTTTTCTTTCTTTGTGGCGCAGATGGCACCTGCAAGTCCTTCTTCGGAAGGCACTTTCGATCAGTTTTCTTTGGCATATCTTTGATGACCAAGTTCCAAGACAAAGGATTAGGATTAGGCTTCTTCATATCGCTAATTTTCAAATCGAAATTTTCAATATTAGAACTATCCTTTGCCTCTTTGAAATTCTCTTTGTCAGCAGTGCTGTATTCCACTTGGGCATTTACCTTAGGTTTCTCTGTACCAAATTTCACTTCCTTAGATTCGGCATTAGAAGACTCAGTGGTCGAATACAAGGGCGTTGTCTGTGTCCACATGTGAAGAAGAAGAGGAGAATCGACTTCCTGACCGCCATGTAGAGGAGACTTGCTTGTGCTTCTCTCTCGAAGGTTGCGCTTCCCACAAAGTGGACAGTTTTGTTGCGAGTTTACAATGTTTGATTTATTACCCTTTGTTCTTCTTGAATCATCGAAAGAAACCGGTGCTTGAGGGCTGCCAAAACCCTCTGCTTTTTTTACTGAAGGCGTAACATTCTGTTTAGAGCCAACTAATAATTCATTTAATACGCCGATTTTTTCAAGAGTTTCTTGCCTGCCACTACCATCAACTTGTTCAAAGTTCCTTTTGAATCTATCCCAAAGCTGATTTAACTCTTTCGTTCTACTCTGCGATAGAGCTGTAGGATCCTTTAATCGAGGTTGTTTTACATTTGTTCTGTCTGAATCGAATATAAATGAAGGGTCAGATGCCTCTGTGTATTTCGCGTCAGTTGAAAAGCTATCAAGCAAACTACTGCTGTTTTTTTGTTGCTCTGATCTGTCGACTTTGCTACCTTCTTCAACTGCAGTTGCTAGGCTGCTAGTGTACGGCTTATAACGATGGGGTATTTCATGATTTCTTCTCAGTTCATTACGCTCGAATATTATTGATTGCTGCGATTGGTCTTGAATAGAAGATTACCAATATTTGAAATAACCGGGTATTCTGACATCGACAACGAATTCGACGCATTTCTATGAAAATCTTTGCCTTTTTCATTGAAATAGGACCGTTTCTCTGTTTCCGTTTCCCGTTTCTTCTGCTCTCCGTTCATAGTCGATAATGATATTTCAGATTCTGAGACATAAAGGCTTGTTGGATCTCTAGTACTTTTTTTGTGACTGACAGGTCGTTTCCCTGAAATAAGCCGTTTTCGGTTACTGCTTCCAGGCCCCGTAGAATCTCTTATGTCGTAAATACCTCGCGGATTAGAAGCGGAAACTCCTACTATAGAAGTTTCTGAATCACCTGAAGAGCTGACATCACTGGAGTTTCTATCTCCATTGCTGACTTTACTCAAATCAGTCTGCATAGATGGTACTAAATCACTAGTTCCGTCACTTCGTGATAACGTGACTTGGGCTGAAGAAAGAGATTGATTTTCATTTGCCCTTTCTTTAACCCTCTGCGGAATTTCATCCCCCCTTTCTTCTCTACCCTCAGTTGAAAAATTCGAAACTTTGCTTTGATTTGCTGAATCCAATGATATGTCTGCAGCAGGGGGTAATGGAGTGACCGTACCTGCTCCAAGAGAACGATGAAACTTGACAACATCGGAGTCCAATAAACTTTCATCTGCCTCAGACGGAACGCTTTTGGAATTAAGAATTCTTGAACTGGCCATGTACTTATTACTTCTTAAAAGTTGTCTGTCTCCGTCAATAGGAGAGAACTCATCCATTTGCGATTGGAACCTGGCACTCGCATTTAGAGCTGTATTAGATTCGTCTTCGGCACTTAGCCCTTCCAACTGCAAGAAATTCGACGACATTCCTTCTTTTGCATCGGCAAATGTTTCAGGACGAGTGAGGCTATCTTGATTGGGCGAAAACACCACTGATGCATTGTCCCTTTTTGCGCTTCCGTCGCTCTCAAGGCTGGACAACTCAGTGCTTTGTCCGGTGCTTGCTAGAGTGGACGCCTCTGTAGAATTCACTGATACTCGCTTTCCTGACAAGGTAGCCAACAGCGAATTACTAGAGGTAAGGCTTTTGTTGGACCGCGAGCTCTCATCTTGCCGTGTTTTCAGGCGCTTATCTATAAGCAAATCGACGCTGTCCTTTGAGCTTTTGCTGTCTGAAGCATCCCTTGTTTCAGTGGAAGCAGATAATGATAATGAGTGCATACCAACAGACAAACTGCTTGACATGTGTGATGCACTGAAAGAGGAACTCTCGTACAAATTGCTGGGCGGTGTTTTGTGTTCCTCGATTGCTTTCAATACTAGGGACGCTCTTCTAAGAGACTTCTCAGTTCTGGAGGACAAAATATTTGATGCTTTGACGGCATTTTCTGCTAAAATTAATGGGTCAGCTGGTCGCGATTGGGGTTTTTCATCAGGCCTACGCTCTTTTGAAAGCCTGAGTTTTCTTTTTTGCAACTCCTTCAATAACGCTACTGAACTTTGATAAGTTGGCTCTAACATTTTGGATATGGAGGTTTCAACAGAGCCTTTGTTGTCATCAGATTTGTCCTGAGAAGCAAGCGCATTTGTAGTTTCGAAATTTGAATCACTGTTGCGAAAAATGCTCGTTTGACTCTCAGTAGCAGAACCATGTTGTTCAATAGCAGTTTGGGAACTACTTTTAACAACGCCAAGCTCTGACGAGATAACTGTTTGCTTGAAGAGGGGATTTGCAACTAAGTCTCCTTCAAAAACTGACAAGGGTATTCGGGCTGGGTACTCTTGCTCTTGTAAACCAGTATCACTGATATCCTTCAAATCTTTATTGTAACCTGCAGCCAAGCGCCGAAAATAAACATCATCAACACTGGAAGGGAACTGCCCATTCTGATTGGCTAGATTTGCTATTCTACCGATGTGGGTGTCAGCCCAAGCTTTACCTAGCGGTTCTGGCCTTTGAATTGAAGCGAACCTTGCCTCCAGGTCTATACGGGAAACACTACCCATTTGATTACCAACTGGCGTGTCGGGAGGCAACAAAGCGACACTTTGTACTATTTTTTCGTTATGAGAAGGACTATCATGTTCAGTTGTGTCTAGGGTTTCAGCCAGGTGAATAGTTGCAACAGAAGGACTAGCCCCTGCCTTCTCGTCCGAATGATCAGTTTGGCGTGATTTCGAATGTTGTTGTTATCTTCGCTTTCCAATATCTTGAGGTTAAACCATTTGCTCTCAATATCCTAAAAATAATGGAAATTTCCATTTATTTTGAATGCAAAATAAGAATGCATTTCCCTGTGGCCATGATACCAAAAAAACAATACGCCTAATCTTGATTCAACCCAATCTCAATTGAAGAACTGAAGTAGAAACAAGCTTTTAAATTGAGGCAGCTTCCAATTTCCTGTAAAATCGTTAATTGCCTGTATAACCACCACATGACACACTAGAAAAAATGGAAAAAGAATTCCAAGGACATTTCTAAGATGAATCAGCTTTTGAACAGTTTTCTGTTTATCTTGAGATGGACCTTTCTTTAAAACCATCCAAAATAGACAATAAAAGCTTCTATCTAAACACTCATTAACGATGATCCCTCAATTGAAAGTTGTTTGAAAGAATCCATTATCTGCCACTAGTTCTTCTTTGTTTCTAAAAAGTAGCGATAAGGAACTTGATACTAAAGAAACCTTTAAAAACTTTTAGAACTAATATAAAAACTAATATAAGCAAAAAATGTAAGTAACTGAGAACTAACCCCGAACTTAGCTTGTAACTGTTAACTGTGATTTCAAGAAGTGATGTACTATTTATAAAATGTAACTGATGGCAAAAGAATGACAAACATTTTCAAGGTGAATAGAAAACTGTCGAGTGACGTCAGCCAAAGCAGGAATTTTGTTCATGTTTTCAACTAATTTTCGCAAAATTGTGTAATTTCATTTGGGGTAGAGATTGACTGGATAAATTTTACAAGGTTTCAAACTAGCAGTTGTATCGTTCTTGGGATTCGTCTTATGATGGTGAATATACAATAAGAAGTGAACCGATGGCCAGGACTCTTAGCATATCTTTATAAAATCTGCCGACAGGCATATTGAAATCTTTGGCAAAATGTAAATTGCTCCAACATTCAGATTTGCTCATCTAGACGAAAGCACCGGCAACAAAGGTTAAGTAAACATAGGGTTGTTTTTGATGATGCTTGCTCTAGGAAATTTCAGGATGGGTTGATTGCAACTTGCAAAGTTCTAATAGTTGAGGACCAAGACATATTCTACAAAATTGGACCCAGCTGTTTAAAGAAACATCTTAAAATTCTCCATTTTGCGTGCATAGTTTGGTGCATATGGTGCAGCAAAGATTTCTATATTGAAAATGTGAAACTTTAACATCGTCTTTCAAGAAAAATGCTTTTTTCTCTAACCCGCCACTAGTTTTTTTCAACAGCAATATATTCAATAGCAGTTTTAAATGATAAGGATCTAAAAATCTGTCTTGCAATTTTGCAATTTTCAACAATAAACCTAGAGAGCATAAAGAACAACTCTGTGGACTATCGATTAGTTGATAAAAAGGTCACACATAAGAACTTAATTGCCCTAACAAATCAAGACTGTTTTCCGGACTGTTAAATGTTTTTAACTTGCCATCGGCTAGTCAGTTAACCAAATTGTTGCAATTATCTAATGTTAACCAAATTTTAAGGAATAAAAAAATCTCAAATCTCTTTGCTAGTTACGAAATAAGATAGAAATTAAAAAGATAACGTTTCCAAATAGGAGATACGTCAAACCTCGTAGATAAAATAATTCCAGAAAATCTTAACACAGTCTGAGAAACGCTAAAGGTCATAGAAAAACTGACCCGAGTCTTACTTTATATTTGAAACATTCAGTGTTAAACTATTTGAGTTCCTTCAGTTTTAAATTCGCGTTAATCATTACTCTCATTTCTTCTATTTAGCCTTCACTTGAAATCTATTTGTCACTCGCATGAATTTGTTACTGCCTAAATTTCTGCCCTGTCTAATAATACTTGGGTCATTTTTAAATGAAAGAACACTTACGTGTGTCACGCGCCGAACTTTTTCTTACTCTGAGGGTTTTTATTGAAGACCATGTGAATACTATTTTTAAGTCCGTTACCAACCTTAAAACCTCACTTTGCAAGATCTTATTGAAAAAGACAAAATCCCAAGTTTGAAAATTGGAAAATAGGAATGCATGTACAAAATGTGCTGAAATAAATTGAAAAAGTAAGAATATAGCCAATGGGTGCTTTTTACAATGCTGAGGGATTGAATAACAAACTGTCAAAGATATTTGATGCCAAGTCAGCTGCATTGTATCAACCAAGTGTATGGGTGTTTCTTATTAGGCTAAATTAACTACAAACAAATTCGTCGGGACAAATTTTCGGAAAAATACTTTGACGAAATTTCCTTCGACTAAATTAAAAATGAGACGAACTTTGGTCACGACCAACTTTTTTGTAGTTACGATATTTGAGAATTCGCATAGAAAAAATTATACGAGGTCAGCAATCAAATATACGTATCCTTTTAATCTATTGAATGTCAATTACGTAATCATCTTCATTTACATTGTCCTCATAACAATCCTCGTCGTCGTCATAATTATCATAATGCACATCATTTTCGGTTCTTGAACTGTTTTTTCCCCACTTATCGTTCGATAAAAGTAGTTCTTAACTTTGTTTTCACCATCGTTCGATAAAAAATAGCTTTCACCAAAATTTTTGTTTTCGCCCATCGTTAAATAAAAATAGCTCTCTTTTTGTCGCCGATCTCAAAGAAGTGCGCCCCTGCTTTTTATAGTTTAACTGTACTTTCTTTCATTCGTGCAAGGTATTTGCACTTTTCAAACCAAAATTTGAACTCTACAGGAAGCGAAACTTGCAGACCAACTTTTCCTGTTGGAGGTGGTCTTATGCCTACAGAATCTTATCCCTCTAATCATGCTCTGTTTATAGATTTTAATACCATAAAGAAATAGAGTATAAAAACTCTTTGAATGCTAAAAGCATCTCTTTTGGCCAACTTTCGCATAAACTGAGAAAATATACCGCCTTTATTACGATTTTGCTGACATGCTGTTCTGTGGAAAAAGCTGCCTTGGGGTTGAGCCGAATTCCGAACTCAAGCCCCTAAGTCTCCATTAAGTCAGTACTTTTGAGATCTAATATAAAGCAACCTGTACGGTTTTGCTTCTTAAGATTTTGGTACTATGTTGCTATCTTTGTGTTAAAAATCCACGATGAAATTTTGCCACGACGATATTCTTAAAAAGTTGTTGGAAATCTTTTTCGACGAAGCTTATCAGCCGAAAATTTATCTGACGAAATTTTTGTTGTTAATGTATATCACTTCGGCTATATGGCGGCTAGTATAGGTTCCAAATCTTTGATTGGCTGAGCGAACAGAATTCTCCATACCCCATTAGCCAATCAGAATTCAAGAATATGACAACAAACGTGTGTCGCAGCTAGATTTAGGCCTATTTTAGACGTTTTTACCACTACCCACAAAAAATAAACGTGTAAAATGTGGTGAAAGTTAACCAAAAAATTGAATCTCTAACAATTTTATGAAAAAACTGCCGTTGTGCTCAGTCAAAATTCTTCCTCGATTGTTAATTACGAAGGATTGAAACTGTCCCTTTCAAACCCTGATAATTATTTGGGGGGAGGGATAACATACAAATTACAGTTTTTAATCCTTAAAAGTTGTTTTATCCACTTAATTAACAAATATGAAATTACCTTTACAAGCCACTGTTAAAATCATTTCTTATCAGCATTGAAAATCGCTAAATTCCACTGAGAGAAAATGCAGGCCATCTTTCTCTCAAAATAACTACAATTGAATAATTTCTCTTGCGCTCAGGTACTTTATATATGTTTTTTAAAGGCTTGAAGATCGATGAGAATCTCACGTCCACTGATGTTCACTGCTACGGCCATGTAAAAGCTGATGCCATTCGTCAACAATGAAAAGGACGGGGAAATTAAAATGCATAATTTACGAAAAATTACTTTTATGTATTCATTTTTGGAAATTATCTTTTCAGCGTAAAAAAGTTTCTGGTTTTCTAAAAAGATTCAAAAGGATCCGCGATCAAAGAAAATGTAAGAAAATTAAATGTTTAACACAGCGAAGTAATTTTTCGCAAATGATGTACAACGGCAGTTTTTTCATAAAATTATTAAAGACTCAAATTTTAAAAAAAAATTAGGTTATCTTTCACCACATTTTCCCCGTTTATTTTATTGTGGGTGATGGTAAAAACGTCGAAAATAGGCCTAAATCTAGCTGCGAGACACGTTTGTTGTCATATAGTTGAATTCTGATTGGCTAGTGGGGTATGGAGAATTTTGGTCGCTCAGCCAATCAAAGATTTGGAACCTATGCTATGGCGGCTAATATCAGGCCAATGATAGATATTATTTTGAAACGTCCTGAAACAATACTTAAAGTATATATTGTGTAGAATACATAAAGCAGTGAACTAAGCAGAAGGCAAAGTTGAAACGAACAGGTTATTTGGTTTATTTAAAAGCAATACTCATTTACACAACGCACCTTTGACAAGTTTTGTTCCCGAATTTTAGAGGCTTTCTCATCAACTACATCACCAGATACATCGCTTGGCAGTATTTCAGCATTTCCAGAATCAGTTGTAAGGGACAATCTCGTATTATTTGCTACTTCTCTCAGGTTTTCATTCTGGTCTCCAGAGTCAATATCTACATCTTTATAACCTTGCTCCTTTTCTAGTTCTTCAGGTTTAGTCTGAAGTATGAACCACTGGTGAAGGAACGTGAATAAAAAATTGTTAATAAGACGTTTAATTCCAATAATTTCGAGATAATCAAAGTAACATCGAAAAACGAGAGAATATTATTTGCCTTTTAACAAATGAGCAATCAGTATTTGCCTTTATCTCAAACCGATCAATTATTCACTTTATAAAATGATGCAAACATCACATGTATTTAAAAAAGCAGAATACATTCCCAACAGCATAGACGTTGGCTTAGAGGGCAATCATGGAAACTTAAAAAATAGTGATGTCTGAAAAAGAAGAATGGCAAGATCTTTTCAATAACATGACAAAATAATTCTTTTTATTTTAACAAGAGGTTTACTTGAAGCTACCATTTCATTGCAAAAACTTTTCTGCAATGAAATTGACTTGAACTCCTACAAAAGTTTTACTTTACCCGAAATATTTCATAAAATGAGACGGATGCAGCTTGCTTTAAAACAGACAGGGAGACCGGTTCTGTTTTATGATTTAAAACAATGACCTGCCTTATGATCCAATAAATTAAGAACTGTATCAAAACGTACATGCTTATTTTCATTCTCAGCGGTTACGTCAATCGCTTCTTCTGCTGACATTATACCGAGTCTGCCGTTTTACCTCTTCTTCAAAGTCTTTGGAAGAAGAAAAAAGGCCTGAAATTGAAACATGACATCTCAAATATGTTATTTACTAAAAGATACATAAGCAAAAAGTCGCTTTTTTGTTGAGATTCATTGTAAAAAAACTGTATAAAATTCACTCATTCAAGTATTCATGTACTTTTACATTGTACTCAAGAGAAAACTGCAATAAAAATATTATAGCTGATGAGAAAGAAAGTTGTAATGTTCAGGCAAACTTCTAACAGTGTGTGAAAATCATGTTCAAAACTAAATTCAAATGTAAAAGTTTCAAAACTATGTTAAATTACATAAAATAGACTAAAGGCCATGGAATGGTACGGACCAAATAAGTTCTATGCTGAAAAGTAGAAACAGAGAAACAGGTAAATATATTCCAGAGCAAATTGCTGACTTGTATATTTCAGAAAGGAATATAATTGAAAACAGTGAAATGTGGAACAGGATGGCTGCAATTTCGACTTTCATCTAATGCATATATCATTCAGAATCATGCAACAAAAGATAATTGATTATTTATTAAAGTTTTGCTTGATGATTACTGATGAAGCAAGAGCAAAATACCCACAGCAAGGGTCTTCTTTGAGTTTGTAATAAGCAAATAGAAGAGAGCAGGCAGACACAGATTAGGTGCAGTAATTACAATAGAGGAGCATCAACGTGGGGAAAATATTCTACTTTCAACATGGCCCAATAAACATGTTTATATTTATAATTATTAGTGCGCATATTCCTTTTCCTGGATATGCAATTTAATGCACAAAGCAATCTGTCATTAACATTTAAAAAATTATGGTTTGTGGCACTCCATCATTGGTGATCGTTTAACTTTTAAACTTCAAAACAAATGATCTAATACAAGACCAGTGACTGTTTTAAGGATTTTCTATCACTGCACATATTCAGAAAATCTAAAAATTTGAGAGTCTCCTAAAAAAATTCTATCACCACCTTCCTCAAAATAACATGCAATATAATGTATAATGTTTTCCAAAATATGAAAATGATGAGTTATTTCTCTTCTAAACTTTGACAGAACTTTTTAAGAAGGAACTTTTTAAGAAGGGACTTTTTAAGAAGGAAAGGAACCCTTTTTCGAAAGGATGCTATGGCTAAAAAAACTGAGCGTTTGAACAGTCAAGTCAAATCATTTGAAGCAATCAGATTATATGGAAAAGCAATTAATGTAAAAGACAATTGAAAGGCAGGCCTATCAAAGCTTCTGAAATTTGAAACTGATGAAGATTCTTGCTTCATTTGCATCAACTATTTTATAGAGATGAACAAGGAAGCAATATAGACTGGCTTAATAAAAAAGCAGGACAAGAGCAGGACATAATGATGAAAGTTTGAACTATTTGTCACCTGCCTCTCACATCTATGATAAAAATTACATCTATGAGCAATTTTATTGATATTTACCTTGATAATGGCGAAAACGGGAGGGAAAAATTTTGGACACTACCTGACAACTGCCATGTTTCCTGGAGAATTTGAAAAAAGCAAAGCAATAAGCCATGATAGAGAGCAAAATAGGCACTATCTAAAGAATAAGCGGATGTTGCTAAGCTTATGAAAAACAAAATTCCCAATTTTTCGTTGAAGAAAACATTTTTATTCAGGTCAAAAACGACGATCAAATATACAACTCATGTGTGCGATCAATTGCTCGCATTATTGGTGCCATGCGTGTGCCGATGCGTGTGCGTGTGATTGCACACATTAAACGATGAAGACTGTCATTGTTTCTTGAGAGTTTCATGATCTGAAAATGGCAAGGAAGAGCAGAAACATTTTTCATCTGACATCCCTCAGAGTATAAACGTCTGTTAACGTAATGTAAGAAGAAAATTTATGATGTGGATCAGTGGCGGCTGGCACCCAAATAAATGTTGTATTAGAATGTAATGAAGAGAGAAACAAAAGTTACTGTAAGCACTGCGCAAAATTCACACTTTAAGGGTTTTTTATCTATCTGATGATAAAAAATATCGAAACAGTCAGATAAATCACGCCACTGCGTATTCATTATATTATTTCTGTCCAGGGAGCTATCTCTATTTTATTTGCTAAACCTGCAAAAACACGAGAATTTTTTCTATTTTTTCGACATCTTAAATCTTGCAGGTAAGATGGTTCCTTTCACGTTACTAAAAATGTGGTTGTGCCTCTCCACTTCTCTCTTCCGAGGTTTCATCCAGATCGCACGCTAAATGGATTCTTTTATGAACTACCCTTACGCTAACGGCCTGTGGGCTAGGTCCTTGTTGTTAGGGTAGCACTGGCGCCATGATAAGCCGATGCAAAACGGCTTATCAGCCTCTGTTTGTTCCTTAAACCCTGGTGTATTAGAAAACTTATTTTAATACATCAAAAGGAAGGGTCGCTTTCACAGTTCATGCATGATTCTTTTTGGCCATTTGCGTGGAATCAACCACTTCATATTAAAATTCAAAACAAGGGGGAAGATTAGTGTTAACTTAAGGGGAACAACTTTGTTTTGATTAGAAATTACTTGAAAAAAATTAAAATTATGTAATTAAATGCACTATTTCTGAAACCAAGATATCTTGCTGAAACCAAAGATGACTTTAAAAGAGAGCAGCCATTTGCTTTTTTCGTCACCACACATTCATGAAAAGGTTTTGTAGGCAGACTCAGAAGTTCTGTATTTCAAAGTGACTTCTTGTTGAAATGCGGTACGGCTTTCTCAGAGCTGTAATTCCAGTGTATTAGAAAACGAGATTTAATACATTCGCTGTGCAGGCATATACTTACGAATAGGTAGCACAAAAAAATAGACGTCACACAGAGCTCTCCAACACGAAGATATTTTGAGTGGTTGTATTAAAAAAAGAGATCTAATATATTGAGGCTGTTCGGCAGTTTCACAGGGGCCATACTTCCGTTAATCACATAGATCACCACCAATTCAAAACAGCACAATTGATTCTTATCAGTCGTATTGTGCTCGAATGCAACGCAATTTTATTTTTGTAAGCGCCTCATTTAATAAAGCACTCAGATAAGAAAATAGAATTTCTCGATTTCAACGAACTAACAATGAACCAGGTCTCATGTTACTTTATCTGCAATTCAAAAATTTTATGTATTAGACTAATACATTGAATACATTTGCGAGCCGCCACTGATGTGGATGGAAAGTAATGTGAGAGATCAAAAGGCATATTTGATTGGTTCTTTGTTTTGACCAATTGCAACTGCTTATCCCTTACCTAGTTGAACAGTCCAAGAGAGAAAACAAATTTTTCCTGTCTACACAATTTGGGATCCATTGCTTTGGTGTACACAGATTACAAAATGCCTAAATGAATTCCAGAATGGTGCTTTAAGTATGATATGTTCCACTATTCCATGCTATTTTCTAATTTTGTGGTACCAGCGCCTTATTTGATTTGCTTCTTAATCATACTCTCATCGATTTTAACTTTTAGTGTTTCATAATTAATTTGATGCAAGGAAATTTTCCAGCAGAAATTTATTAGGGTTCACTGGAGCAAACAAAGACAATTGTCAATGTTTCTATTGCTTTCAAATGTTAAGTTCTGTCAAGATATTCATGAGGAGAGTATCTTTTCATTTTCTATATCTAAATGTTTCTGCCAACCAGCCAATCATATTTAGATTTTCATAAATTTCTGAGTGCTTACATTTTTCAAAATTCAAATGCTTCTAAAGTTTTTGCTTCCAGTACTGAAGTTTCTTAAAATTTGTTTTTTTTTGCCCAGTATTCATTTCTTATAGGGTGTTTCTTATAAAAGATGATTGTATTTGTAATGCAGATTTTGTATTTGACAGTCTCATGTCACACTTCTCTCTGAATGCTTATTCAAGATTCTACTCTACATGCTACACTAAGGGCGACTTAGATTTTTTATATATTTGCCAGTAGATAGATATACACATGATTTTGTAGTGTCATTGACATGTTATTGCTAGACAATGGTTGATACCCTATAGGCAGAGCTTTATATACTCATATGTTTTTAGGTTATAAAAAATGAAAACTGTGGTGTATGAGTCTTTATTTTACGTTAACTATGTACATGGCTTCATGTTTAGCATGCCAACTAACGAAAATTTTAAGTACGCCAAAAATGTTTTTATTAGTTTGCACGCCGAACGCCGAAAAACCTGGGTGTACGCCGAAGATCTTCGGGCCTAAGTACATGGAATGCACCCTGGCGGTAGTAGCCTAAATTAAAATATATTTTTTAAAACACTCTAACGGCGGCCGTGCAGGCATTTGGAAAAAGTAAGATTGTTTTCTACTTACCTTTGTCAGAATTTTTATGCCATCCTTTAACTGTGCATCAACTGTTGCACTAAAAGACGGTAACTTTATTGTGCTCCTCTATTCCGCCATTTTCAACGACTTGGCGCGCTGCTTTTGTTTTTAAATGAGGTGAATTGTATTTTGATTTGAAAAGATTTTTCAAGTTTGCACGCAGGCTATAGTTTCGATAACTTTTTTGATTTCGCAGATTGTTCTAAAAAGTGGGAAATAACTGTGATATTTTTCAACATCTGACAGCAAAACAGAGCACAGTCTTCAGCATTGTTTAAATGACATGTTGATACTCTTGAGGTCGTTATTTGTTTTTCGAAGTTTTTTACAGTTTGTGAGATATAAGCTCTTGCATTTAGATAATTGAATTGAATTAAACGACAAAAAGTTATCGGTTTGGTGACACTGTGACGCAATTTTGACGTCACAGTGTATTTCGTTGGTCTCGCTTCAAACCGAATCGAATGACGGCGATTCGCAAATTGAACACTGCAAGTGATGGTACTCTCAGTTCTGTTCCACCGGCTTTTAGTTTGAGCATTTCAGACACCAATTCTGAAGCTTTAGTTCTTCATCGTTTCTGGAGAACAACATGGGTATCAATTTCGATTAATTATACGCCAGGGAAGAGCTGGAACAGGAAGCCATAGCTTTGTGGGCCTACACAGGTGATCAAAATAAAGTCGTGATACAGCTTGGACACATTCCCACCCGCAGACTTAGAATGATTTTAAACATTTAATATTTTTCGATCCTAAAAAGCTCCTGCTGATTTAGATGCAGTTATCAACGCGTGACCATGACTCCTTCACGATTCGGTGGAAGATATACGAAATTCATGGCGAACGAGAGCCGCACATTGTGACGTCAGAATGTCACCTAACTGATTCGGCTTTTATCGTTTTTTTCTCGGAAAGGTGCAACTTTAAAGGCTTATAACTTCTAAACGAATTCAAATTATAATTTCGCTGTTACATTTGTAGGAATTAACCTTTAAAAGGTCCCCATTTGCAAATGTTTTTATGTTTCATAAAAAGATTAGATTTCTTACACTCACATGTGACTGTCTTGTTAGTCCTTATTGGTGTCGCATTTCTTGGGTGATAGGAGATTCATTCAATTTTTTTCCAGAAGGTCCATAGCCCTACTTAGTTCTGTTTTAGCAATCGAAAAACGTTGGTTTGTAGCCGATGTATTGATTGATATTGATTGAGCTTCCAAAATTTCTGATTTGTACCAGAAGATTGTCACTTTGAGAGTAGTTAATTTTCTATTCATAGAAAATAAAACCCTATAACAGCACATCAGATAGAAATGGTCTCCAAAATGAAATAAATTCTGATAAAAAAAATTGCTTTGAAAAAAGTAAACATTTGAGTAAACTAAAGCTTTCGTCTGACACTCTTCAGAGTTTAAAACGGAGCATCAGAACACAGATCAAAAACTGGGTATATATATTTCCTAGCGTAGAGTTTTCGATCTATGTCCTGAAGAGTGTCAGACGAACAGCTTTAGTTTACTCAAATGTTTGCTTTTTTCAAAGCCATTTTCAAGTTTAGTACCACCAAAATATTGTTTGGATAAAAAAATCATGCAGGTGTTCAGTTAGAAATCAGAATTTGCACGTTACGTTTATCTAGTGTATTATACAAGTATGTTATAAAAGCCTGCATGACATACTTGTTGGAATCACTTCAAAATACGTAAAATTAATTCTGTATTTATTAGATATGTTTTATTTGTTTTACAATTATGACTAAACCTGAATATCAAAAAAGAGATTGATTTACTGAAAAAAGCACCGAAATTTCGTAGATATTTATGTAGCATTTACATTACCCTTGTTCAAGTTTTGAGCAATGTTTACACGAGACAACCGTCAATGCAAACAAAAGTAGGAAAACAGGCATGGAATTAAGATATAATTCCCTTTAAGTGAAAATAATTAGAAATTTAAGAGCGACCGCTGAGAACCTGAAATTCCGGTTGAACGAACAGCATTTGTTTCAAAGACTTTGTCGAGCAGCATAGCACTGAATATGACAGCGTTTCTTTAAATGCGTACTCTGTGCCTTTGCTTTTTGTTCTTGATCTTTTCGTCTTTTGTCATAACCAATGTAAATTTATTTAGGGGTTTTCTGATTTTCTACACCTACCTGAAACATCGTACTGATTGAGGCCTCAAAATTGCTAAGCCGTGACGTAAAACTGTGCTAAAGGACTTCGGCAACAAAGGTACAGTGGGATAAAAATTGATACTGATCGACCCGAAAATAGGGCACTTTTGACAAGTTTTTGCATTTCATTTAAATTGGAAAGCATGTCAGATATCAGTAATTCGTCAAAGACAAAGAGGATCAAGATCTAGGTGACACATTTCAATTTGCCGAACGAAGTTTCCTCAAGTTTCCCAAGGTGTACAAAAGCATAGACTAGGCCAAGCAGATGGCGGAAATAATGCTGACTTTTGAGAGGCCTTACATGGGTGAACCAACAGCAGATAAAAAAATTATTTATAGCTTTATCCAAGAGTGCAGAGAGGAGAAAGAAAGGCAAAGAAGACTCGTTGAATGCCTAGCTTAGGCCAGTTGAGATATTAAGCCTAGGCCCGTCCTGCCGTAGCTGAAATTTAACAGGGATCGGGGATCGGGAATCGGGGACAGGGGATCGGAGGCAGGAGAACGGGGACAGGGGATCGGAGACAGGGGAACGGGGACAGGGGATCGGGAACAGAGGATTGGGACAAGAGATCGGGGACAGGGGATCGAAAACAGAGGATCGGGGACAAGGGATCGGGGACTGAGGATCGGGACAGGGGATAGGGGACAAGGAATCGGGGATAAGAAAGAACTGTATCAATATATATAAGTGGAAGTCGGAATATACTACTTCATAGACACTCCGTTATAGACAAAAATGTATTTGAAGGTATCTCTCTTAGAGTTGTAGTCTATATCAATACACATTTTGTTAATTAAGGACAATACAATAGGTTCTGGGACTTTTGTCCGTGACTCTTTTGATATATAAGAGTGTTGTAAGCCTGAGTTGTGGATCCTGTGTCTATACTAATATAAATATACGCCTGTTTTTCTAGGTTAACTTTAATCAAGCGACTCGAAGGATTTTCGAGAGAATAAAAGAGGCATAGACAAAGATGATACTCAAAATAATTTGTATACATTTGAAATTCGCAGAAAAATGCAAGCAAGATAATTTACACAAAATAATAAAAAGAGGAAGCCGGGTATCGTATTTACAGTAAAGAACGCCGCGGTGTTTATTACAAAGTCCAATTTTTGGATGTGGCGTTTAATAAAGGGCGGCCTTTATGAAGGGCGGCCTAAATCAGAAGGCGGCGTTTGATGCAAAATGAATAAAAGGTAAAAAATTCTCAAACAATTTTTCCTTTTCCCCAAAACACGTAATTAAGATTGTGCGAAATTTTTTTTATTAAAGTTCACAAAAGATGTGTTCACGTTACGTATCCCTGTCTCGGTCCGAGTCTCTATGATATAGCAACTTTCATGGCTTTCGAATTGAAAGCGTATAAACTATTCGTTAAGCCTAATCTTGCAGAAACATTTTTAATGGGCGCTCGAAGCGCTCAATAACTAGATTTCATTGGCTGAGCTCTTGCGTGAGCGCTTGTGAGTAGGATCGAGACCTACTCTCAAACGCGTGCGAGCGAACATGAAACTGATCGCAGCGACCGTGATCATTCCCAATGTACGTATGGGTAGGTTTGAACGCTTCGAGCGCGCGCTCAAAAATGTCTCTGACGAGATTAGGCTTTATTTCTCGTCTGGTGTTTTTTCTAATGAACGCTGCATTTCAAGATGCGGCGTCTAGAAGAGGGTGGCGTTTATCAGAGGGTGGCGTTTTTTAAAAATGGTTTGCTGAAGGTGCGGCGTTAATCAGAGGGCGGCGTTCATTAGAGGAAATACGGTATCTAAAAAAAGAAAAAAGGCTAGATGAACACATGAAAATAGATATCATTTACATTAAAAATAATCATTTACGACTTATGTGCGACTCGGTTGATTCACCTTATTAGGAGAGTGATCTCTGTCTACACTGATGCATTTGAAGTAAATTGAGAATCTGCGAACTTTGGAAAGAGCTGTACTTTCAAAGATTACGAGGCACTTAAAAGAAAATTACGCCGAAGATCCCACTACACGGCTCCGTTCCGATATTGTGAAGAGTTTAAAGTTGATAGCATTGAAAACAATACTTATCCCTTTCTTTTCGTTTTTCTATCTGTCAACCAGAAATTTAGTTCCTAGCTGAAAAATCGTCCGAGCCATGACTTTCTAAATTGGAAGCATTTCCTTACAATTGACTAGAGTGAATTCTGCAGAAATTCAAATAACTACATTAGGCAGTCGACGGGTGTGTGATTAATAAATTGGAATTCAACTGTATAAAAGTACAGGTTTAAACGTGCTCTTTGTATGACAATGTTAATGTTTCATACAATGATCTGAATTTATCTGCTGCACGCTGACCGTCAAAGTCGTGGCATCACCAATCTCTTTCAGTTGGTTGCAAATAGTCAAGTCCAATATGGCGAAATATGTCCTCTTCGTTAAATACTGGTACAATTGCTCCCTCATGTAACTTTTCCTCGCCCTCAAAACAAAATGCCCTCGTAAAAAACTGTCAGCGAGGAAGACGACAAGGGCCGACATTGACAACAAGCAGCAGTTTTATTGAAGGCAATTGCCATGGAGCGTTGGACATTGATTAGAAGGGAAATCAATAACACCTCTTGAGGGGAGAAGGGGCAAAGCTTCAAAAGCTCTTACAATTTTGAGCTTATTCATGGTAAAATGTCCTCAAGATTCAGATTGAAGGCAATCTACCAGATATGCCGAGTAAAAGAAGTAACTTTATTCAAAGGGGGTACATATAGTTAGCATATCTATAATGCGCCCCTTAGTGGGTATGTATGTGTGTACATAAATCTGTTCGGGTGCATTTGGGATCTGGTGACGGCACTATAAATAGCAAGTGGTCTATCACTCAAAGGATTCCAATAAATCCAATTTGTCCTAATAGAACTAGCAATGTTAAGTTTACCAAGTACTTGTATAATGAAACTACAAAGAGTGTAGTTGAAAGGAATTTATTAAATTGTTTGTCGATTTACCTGTCGGATAACACCCTCGCGTAGAGCATGCTCTGATAAAGACATATTCTAAAATGAAAAGTGTTTATGTTTGAGAAGCTGTGAAACCACTAAGGAAACCTAGAACATAGCTTCTATAAAGAAAATAATTAAAATGTTCGTTTGAGGCGCCACTTAATTCGGTGGAATAGGTGGCATGGTAATGACAGGCAGATTGTGGGCATTGTGGACAATGCGTGTCATTTTTTGAAGGATTAATCACCAATAATCTTGTAACTGTGGATAATGAAGAGCAAAATAAGTATTAGGTTCCTTGCGGTAAATTGAAGAGTATTAGGTTCCTTGTATCTTTGTCTATTTCTAATTTGGTAGCAAATAAGAGGCTATATCTTATAGCTCATTTTATTTCCTGGAATTAAACTTCTGTTTGAAAATTCCATCCATTGCTTTCAGGGTAATAGCAGAGGCATCGTTCTGTGCTAAGAGGTTGATAAACAGCGTGAAAATTGATAATAAAAATAGGCAGTACTGTGCATAGGAATTTTATCAATATTATCCTTAGGCAATCAGTTATTGTACATAGGCAAAATGACCTACCCAATTTTCGTGAAAAAAATTTATAAAAACTAGTATTGACCATCAAAATCATTTATATGTAATTCACACCATGCTTTATCGTAAGGTGTAGGTTATTTGTGTTGATTTGATTACATTTTTGAGGCCAATGACCGCGACCTTGAATCAAAACCGCTTTTTTAATTACCTTTTGGATCAATAACATATCTCCAAGCATAGCAAGTTGTGCGTCTCTGCAAATATTCATCTTGTTAGCTTAAAATTCACATTACTTTTATTATTTTGCAAGACATTCTAGAATATAAATATCACACTATTGACATGATATAATTTAAATGTATAATAATGGCATAACGTGGCTTTTAATGAAGATGTTTTCTACTTCGCATTTTCAGAACGGCTTACATACGTTATGCAAAAGGGCACAAAAGATTATCACCTTTGTCTTTGCTAGCTGTCTCATTGAGCGATTCAGCCTCCCTGATCCCGTGAAGTGAACAAGGGCGCATGGCCATTCCGAAAATGGGGCAACTATGATATCCAGCCTTCGATGCTGCAAAAGACAAATGTATTTATGTATGTAACAACGCATTGCAATGACATTGGCTAGCTTAAAGGTGCTCATGAGACAGAAAGACAACTTGCTTGCATCTGTGACAATCAACCTCTTAGCACAGAACGATGCCTCTGCTATTACCCTGAAAACAAAGGATAGGATTTTCAAACAGAAATTTAATTCCAGGAAAGAAAATGAGCTGTAAGATATAGCTTCCTATTTGCTACCAAATTAGCAATAGACAAAGATAAATTGTTTACCGCAAGGAACCTATTACTCTTCAATATTTACTATAGGTAAACTCCAAAAAAAATTTCTATCTTCCCTCTTGAAAAAATTCAAAATACTATTTATCATAGCATAAATATGATAAATATAAAAAGTAAGAAAAGAAGAACCGTTGCTCTAATACCTTTCTGCTCTCGCCTGGCAATTTGAAAACGCCCATGTACTTATTTTGCTCTTCATTATCCACAGTTACAAGATCATTGGTGATTAATCCTTCGAAAAAAGATACATGCATTGTTAATTGTCACAGCGTAAAAGTCTTCAAAATATTTTCAAATATTTCAGGACTAAAAATTTGATCATTTTACAAGCGAACTGCTATCAGGAAAAACTCATAGTACAAATATGCATGTGGTATAGTTATTAAACACAGAAAATATAAAATATAGGAAACAAGCCCTGCGTCCTGCCATATTCATGACTGCACAAAAGCTGAAAGCACTTGCAATGAATTCATTTATCATCAATACCTTAAGGTCAATTGACAAGGATTTCGCCTCGCTCGCCTTTTGTCACTAAACTAAATTTCACACTCGGTGACGGACAAAGAAGTGCTTTCAGCGTGCAAAGTTTGCGGCTTCTTCATTAAATTTTTTACCACTAAACAATTTACACTCATTTACCAAACTCGTATTCCCCAAAAGAACTTTAGTAAAAAACAGCCATGTTACAGCAATCAAGCGAAAAAGTTTTCCACAAAAGTGTGGCTCTACTATGTAATCAACAGAAGTTGTTTGTAGAAAGACAGGCTAATGCAGAATTTGGAAGTCATCATTAATACTTTCTAAAGTTTTGCAGAAAATGTATCTTAGAGTATCAGGCAACAAGAATCAAGCCAACTTTCTCACTCTTGCGTGGGGTACAGAAATTTCTATCCAAAAAGTACTATATTTAACAAAAGCTTTATATCCCAAATGTACTATATTTAACAAGGCCGGTTTCATCTGTAGGCGAAAAAAGCGAAAGAATAAGCAACGCCTGTTGATCTAAGACAAGTAAAATTTTTGTTGCATTTTCATTTCCTGGAAACTCAAAATTTTAATAAATAAAATTAAAGTTAATAGCCAACCTTTCTTTTGAAGTGCGTCGATAATACGCTTAAGAAAACTCTTGTGTGATCGGCCATCAGGATGTGACATCAGAATATCAACATCACCACATGTTTGGCGACCTCGTCTGTATGATCCACATGTTACAACAAGCATGCCTGGAACAAGTTCACAAGCGGTTGCTTCCACCTTTCACAAATTAGAAATTCGTAAAATAGCATATATCTTAACAGTTATAAAGACAAGAGCAGCAGATATTCACTGTTCGCTATGGTAAAAAACACGAAATAAGCCCTATCTTTTTGTTTAAATAAACACCAAACAACTTCATAATTTCCAAATGAGCAACATGAATTTAACTGGCCACGTACCTTTAGATACACTTTTCTACCTTAGCAATGGACAATAAATCTTTTCACAACAAAGAGGACATAAAAATAAAGACGCCATCTTTTAGGTCAAAAGGAAAGAGAAAGGATTCGGCACTTTTGCAAACTTAACAAACGAAAGCGTGGATCATGACCTCCCCCCCCCCCCCCCCCCCTTCCTTCAATAGATGAAAAACGTCAACCAGAGAAAAATAGGTCGGGGCCAGTGGAAGACAAAAGCATTCAAATATGATTAATCTAGAAGCATAGATTAAAAGTATGGCACAACTTACATGCTTATGGATTTCTTCAACTTCTCCTCTATCTATTTTTTCAAGAAATTCATCATAGAACTTGAGCCCAATTTTTTGCTGGTAAGTTAAATTAGCTTTCAAACGAATGTCTTCCAGAGTTTTGAAACCCTTGAAATATAACAAATTATAAATAGATACATTAACTGTGAAATGCATTACTTTTTTGCTCTAAAACAAAGGACTATCAACAACTGTTTACAAAAACTGACACAAACTGTTTAAAAAGAATTTACAGTAGCCTTCAAAACTTTATTGGTTTCACCCAGAGAAAAAACATCTTAAAGCATATAAATAGAACATCATTATTGAATTTTTCTTGCGCTAAGGCAAGAGTTATTTCAGCGACAACACCAACAAAGAAAAAAGAAAAACCATAATGGCAATTGTGCGAAGGTCATTGTGGAGGTATGGTCATAGCTGAGTCGAGGATCTTTGTTCTATTATTCGAGAAAACGAGAAAAACGATGCTGGACTAAAAACAATCTTTCTACAATAAAACAATGGACAATCAACGTTTATGAATATACCCAGTATTACCAGTAAGAGTACCTAGCATGATGAGTAAGAGCATTACTGTTACTAGTATAATGACTAAGAATATTATTATTACTAGTATAATGAGTGAGAGCATTACTGTTACTAGTATAATGACTGAGAATGTTACTATTAATAGCATAATGAGTAAGGATATTATTATTACTAGCATAATGAGTAAGATTATTACTACTACTAGTATAATGAGTGAGAGCATTACTGTTACTAGTATAATGACTGAGAATGTTACTATTACTAGCATAATGAGTAAGGATATTATTATTACTAGCATAATGAGTAAGATTATTACTACTACTAGTATAATGAGTGAGAGCATTACTGTTACTAGTATAATGACTGAGAATGTTACTATTACTAGCATAATGAGTAAGGATATTATTATTACTAGCATAATGAGTAAGATTATTACTACTACTAGTATAATGAGTGACAGCATTACTGTTACTAATATAATGACTAAGAATATTACTATTACTAGCATAATGAGTAAGGATATTATTATTACTAGCATAATGAGTAAGATTATTACTACTACTAGTATAATGAGTGAGAGCATTACTGTTACTAGTATAATGACTGAGAATGTTACTATTACTAGCATAATGAGTAAGGATATTATTATTACTAGCATAATGAGTAAGATTATTACTACTACTAGTATAATGAGTG